AGGTGACATCTTGGATGGGATGGTCAAGAAAGGCCTCTCTGAGGGGGTGTCATTAGAGCAGAAACGTGGCTAAAGGGAGGAAACATGCCCTATATATTTGTGGGGGGGGCGGGTTCCAGGCAGAGGGAGCAGCACAGGGGCAGATTCTGAGGCAGAGACAACCTTGGCAGGCTCAAGGAACCACAAGAAGGCCACAGTGGCTAGAGTAGAGAGGAGGTAGATCAAAAATATGGACAGAGAAGCAACTAAGAATCAGATCATGTAATGGAGACCATGGTATGGATGTTGGCTTTTGCTCGGGTAAGATGGGAGCCAAGGCAGGTTGCTGAGCAGGAAGGAGTGACATGATCTGACTCCCTCTGGCTGCTGGAGGAGAAGAGACTTTGGTGGCAAGAGGGGAAACAGGGATGCCAATTAGGTTCCTGCAGTCAATGTGGGCTGAAAGTAGGGTGGTTGCTGTAGATGGGGTGAGAAATGGTGGGATCCAGAGTAGGGTTTAAAGAGAGAGATGACAAGATTTGCTAATGGATTGATTGAAAAGTCTGAGAGAGGAATCAAAGATGACTTCCAGATTTTGGCCTGAGGAACAGGCCATTTAAATATATGAGGAATGCAGGGGCAGGAGCCTACAAGATGGCTCCCAATGATCCCTGCCTCCCAACACATATCCTTCTGTACTGCCCTCCCACATTGTATCAGGTCTGATCTATGGGATCAATAGAACACAGCAGAAACGATAAGAAGTGCCTTCTAAGGCTAGGTCATAAAAGACATTGTAGCTTCTTTGCTGTCTCTCTCGGATCACTTGCTCTGGCTTCCCCCAGCTGCCATGTTGTGAGGAAACTCAAGCAGTCCTATGCAGAGGTCCACGTGGTTGGAAACTGAAGCCTCCTGCGAAAAGCCTTCTGCCACCAACCATGTGAGCCATCTTGGAACTGGATATTCCAGCTTCAGTCAAGCCTTTAGATGACTGTAGCTCTGACTGACATCTTAACCACAACCTCATAGAGACCCCAGGCCAGAATCACCCAACTAAGCCAGTCTTGGAGACCTGCCCCACGGAAACTCTGTGAGAGAACAGGTGTTTATTGTTGTTGTAAGTGATTAAGTTTTGGGATAATCTGTTACACAGCAGTACACAGATAACTAATACATGGGAGAAAACCAAGAGTTCTGTACTGGCCATGTTAAGTTGGAGAGAGTAATTAGACATCCATGTGGAGATGTTGCATAGGCAATTACACATGCCTCGAGTTCAGGGAAGAGTTGAGGCTAAAGATACAAATCTGAGAGTCATCAGTGTTTAGTTGGTAATAAAATCCCCGATGCTGAATGTGTAAAACAAGGCAAAAGGACTCCAATATTTACAGATTAGGAAGAGGAGCTTGCAAAAAGGGGCAGAGAAGGAGTGGCCAGTGATGAAAACTAAGGAAGCAGTGTGCCCTGGAGCCAAGGGAGGACAGTAGTTCAAGAAGGAAGGAGCGATAAACTGTGTCAAATGTCACTGGG